TTTTTGAGAGAGAGACAGAGTGCAAGCAGGGGAGGGGCAGAGAGAGAAGGAGACACAGAATCTGAAGCAGGCTCCAGGCTCTGAGCTGTCAGCACAGCACCCGATGAGGGGCTCGAACCCACAAACAATGAGATCATGACCTGAGCCGAAGTCCAACGCTTAACCGACTGAGCCACCCAGGCACCCTATTCCTACTTCCTCTTCCAGCAAATCAATCATCTCATATTCTAATACATGGCAAAAATACATGGGATCTCTCTCCATATTCCTAATCCCCAATCCATCTCCTTATCAATTTACTAGTATCAGTGTCCATCCTTGACTCTTCCCTTTCAGTCAGCCATACATTTTACAGATAGTTGAGTGCCCAGTACATGCCAGGCACTGTACTCTGCTTGGCCCTGGAAAGTATATGTGTGTTGGTAGTGAGAGGTGACTGAGACTTAAAAGACAGAGGCAACAACCTGAGAAAAGGCAACATGACACTGAAGATCTGAAAGATAGTAGGTGTGGCTGGTACACCACTGCTGGGTTTTGTGGGCCAACTAAAGATTTAGTCTTTATCAGAATACATGGATGGATTCTAGGTAGATGACATGATCAAACGCACATTTTGAAAGATCACTCCTCTTATTAAAGCTGTACTTACCTATGTTAGTTTGTTCTCTGTCCTTCCCAGTAGCTAAAAAGATTCCAAATAGATTCCCAGGCCCTAACACAGACCTAGAGTCAGAATCTTTGGGGGCAGTCTGGAAGTCTGTCTGTTTACAAAGCTCCCAGGAGATGCTGAAGAACAGCTAAGTCTGAGATCCACTGTCTTAGAACATTAAAAAAATGAAACTTAGCATACAAATTTATTTTTCTGCTTGTATCTTGCATCTAGTCTGAGCCTATAAAAATGGGTCTTGGAAAAGACTATAAACTACCCGTCTACCATAAAACATTCTTTTTATCCTCCTTCTTTCTATTATGGGTTACCATGAATACCACTTCCTGGTCAAAATGCCAAAGGACCGAAGATATTTTTCTTAACAAATTCTTTCCCATTTACATAGGAAATAATGTTCTCTCTTCCTAAATGATTATACATCTTAACACATTAGCTAGTGTTTAAAGAGCTAGTTAAGCTCTATGGAGTGAACCCACAATTACAATTAAGCTCTACAGGGTGAACCACAATTATTCAAGTAACTGAAGATCTATAGTGCTGTGTGATTCCTAAAGTTGTTCTATTAGGGTTTTGCTTTCTTTGTTTTGTTTTGTTTTTTAGAGAGCATGAGCAGGGAAGATGGTCAGGGTTGGAGGAGAGAGAAAAAATCTCAAGCAGGCTCCATGCTGGGGCTCAATCCCATGATGCTGGGATCATGACCTGAGCCAAAATCAAGAGTCAGACACTCCACCCACTAAGCCACCCAGTAGCCCTGTGCTATTAGGTTTTTTTAATGTGCATTTTTCTTTTAAAGATGTGCCCTTCCCAATTATGTTCAAACTAATCTTAGAATAAATATGCAATAAAAAAAAACATATTAGTCACATGCTACACGAGAAAAAACAGATTTGTCACAGAAAATCCACATACAGGCTGTATAGATCACTTATGCCGAGTTAAGATCATGATCAGTTCAGTTTGCATTATTTATGATTAAAAGACAAGAATAGTACAAAAAATGAAGGACAGTCCTCCAATCTGTTTGCCAAGAGTCCTCATCTTTTCTCTTTGCTCTACTTCTCTATAAAGCAGACAAAAATGCCAGAAAGTCAGATGATGCCATAACTGCTTTAACTTGGCAAAATGCCAAAGAAGGCTACAGACAGACCAAGAGGAAGAGGGAAAAAAAAAAAAATCAGATAAACTACCTCCTCCAAATCAACTACCGCAGACATTTTGAAGGACACAAAAAGGCATCTGTAATGCAGTTCTTCCCCAGCCTTGTAACCAAACACTTACGACAAATGTATTTCTTCTTGCTGCATCTCTTCATGCCTACTAATGATCCTTTACGGGTGTAAAATGGGGAAATGCCAACTATTTCATATGTTGGGAAGATTAAAGGACATTTATTTCACGAACGCTTATATGCTACTTACTCTGTGCCAGGCTCTTCTATTTTACAGATATTAACACATCTAATCCTCCCAACAGCCCTATAAGGTAGGTACTACTATCCTTATTTTACAAATGGAGGAACTGAGGCACACATATATAACTTAACTTGCTGGAGTTTATCAGCAAATACCTGGCAGAACCTGGATTCCAATCTAAGCGGAGTAGTCTTGAGCTCATTTTTCCTTAGCACCCCCTTTGCTACAGGAGATAATTTAGCCCCTCAATTGAGCAGTTAGGCCTTGCTGGACGCCTCCGGGGATAGTTGCTAATATCCCCCCCTTCATCATCATTGTGGTTTCTGTTACACAAGCCATAGAAGAGTAGTACTCTTCGGAGCAGCTTTCCCCAACCAACAAACACCACTTACTACTGCCGGTGAAGTTCATTTAGGCCTCACCCTCCCGACCTCTTAGGGGCTTTCTACTCTGATCCTCTGTCTGCACGCCCACGTAGCTCCAGCCTCCAGCACCAATGGCGCGGCCAAGACATTTACTGACTCGGGGCCTGACTGGGTTGGTTCCTTCCCAGCATGGGGGGTGGGGAGGGTGCTCTGATAATGGTGTGGGGAATGAGATGTCCAATGCTGGCAGAGGTGTCACAGACTGAAGGGCTGGAGGGCTCAGCCCTCCAATTCCTGGCGGACCCGTGAGGTCCCGATGGGGTGCCGGATGCATACGCGTCCGCTGTATGGAGAAACTTCACCTCAGGAGAAACTGAGGCAGGAGACCAGGCTTAATTCCAAATCTTAACCTATACTTCAACTACCAGCTCATTTCAAAAAAAAAAAAAAAAAAAAAAAAAAAAGGAGGAGGAAGAGGAAGAAGGTGAAAGAGAAGGAACAGAAGAAGAAAAGAAAAACTTTGAAGGTACTGTTCCAAGACACACAGCAACTCAGTAGCCTCTGCTCTCTATCAAATCACAAGAGTAAGAGAAGGAGACCGCACCCCTCTCTCCCGGCAATGCTTCCCATTGTGCCTTCCATCCAGCCGGCAGCGGCTTCAGCCTTCCCCCCGGTTCGGCGTTCTCCCACCGGCGGATCAAGGGAAGTATCCCAGCCCACACTAAGCGGGGAACTCACGGCTAAGCAAGGGAGATATCCTCGCAGGGGCCGGGGGAAGGGGGGGTGTCGCACGGTTTTAGGGTCAGGGGAGGGGTCTGTAAATTGCTCATTGCCTTTTAGGTCCGGAACAAGAAGGGCGCCAAAAGATCTTGAATCACCAACCGCTGCCACCTGCCGGAAGCCACTGCTTGGGCGTGTTTCTCCAGCTGGAGAGAGGCATATCCCGTGAGCCCGCGAGCGCATCCCGTGAGCCCGCGGGCGTTCGAGGACTACGACTCCCGGCATGCTCCGAGGCCTCTGGGGTTAACCCTTCGGGACCCGCAGCCTCCCAGCGCCCCGCCTCCGCCCTTACCTGGATCCCGCAGGGTGAGTTTTTGGCAGCTGGGGAGGGATTCTTTCCTTTCATCTTTCCTTTCATTTAAGCTTTATTGAAGGTGTGCGTGTGCGTGTGTGTGTGTGTGTGTCTGTGTGATTGTGATGTATTCTGGAAAGGTGGAATGATTCTGATTTTTCTAAAATGGGACAATGTTCAGTAATGAGATTCAGACGCATTTTTGCAAGTGGAAGACCGGGCGCCAACTCTCTGAACCCCAGGATCTACGTGGAATCACTATCTTCCTCGGAATGCTGCCTAAATCCTTTTCTTCCTTACCCCTAGAACAAAAGTAGCTAGCAACACCTCCTGTATACCTATGGCCTCTGACTTAGACCTTACTCTAGTGTCCCCAGCAAGGTTTGGAAGCTAGCCCCAGAGTCAGGGTTTTTATTGTCCCTTTGGTTGGGAGATGAGTACCCGTGGAGCCCATAGGACCTCCCACATCCTTTCAGATTAAAGATTTTAGAATTTAGGCCCTTTGGGTCTCAGGGCCTACCCTTCCCTTCAGGTGCACCACAGAGTCCCTGTAGGTTCAGCAGGCACCCTGCCTTTGTCTGACTTGCATAAGCATGAGCTTGTGGAAAAAGGTATGGGTGGTGGGCGTTAAGCCAGATCCTGGCCCCCACCCTCATCCTTAAGACAATCCTAGGAACAGGAGACAATGGGGGTGTCACACTCCTCTTTCTATTACTATTCTTTATCTATATTGTGCACAATTACAGTTCTGGGCTGGGAGGGAGGGGGACAGGGACTGTAGGTATTGGGGATTAATAGACTGTGGGGTCAACTACCCCTACTCCTCATCGGTGGTAAGAGAGGCTTTTTTCCCACCTTTTACTGCTCTTGGACCACCCCCCCCCCCCTTTTTAAAGATTTTATCTTTAAGTAGTCTCTACACCTAATGTGGGACTCAAACTCACAACCCCCAGATCAAGAGTCACATTCTCTATGGACTGAGCCAACCAGGTGCCCATCACAGACCCTACTTTAACAATTCCGGTTCATAAGGCCTCCCTCCCTGCCTCAGCCTTGAAGAGTCTAAAGCTACTAGAAAAAAAGGGCTACTCTGTGCCAGGGGGTTGAGGCCTGGAATGCCTGGATTCCCTTTTTTGCTTCACCCCTGTATCAATGTCTGTCACTGGCAAGCATCCTATCCTTATCCCAGAGGTTAACTCCCCCATTCTGGGCAGTTTCTGGCTTCCGTCCCCTGCCCCCAAAGGGGCCATTGTTCTGGCCAGCATTTGGGGCTGAGTGAACAGAAAAGAGAAGACCTTGGGGCAGGAGTCCTGAACCATAGGAGTCCAGGACAGGCCAGCATATCTCTCCTCTATCTCACCCTCCCCACCGCCAACTGGCTCCCTGCCCCTGCCCCCGCCCCTTGACATCCCAGACTCCCTGGCTATTTAAACAGAGATGGGTGCCCCCATCGGCACACTGTCCTTTGGCCACCGGACATCATGCCTCCCAAGAAGGATGTTCCTATGAAGAAACCAGCAGGACCCTCTATTTCCAAGCCTGCTGCCAAACCAGCAGCAGGGGCTCCTCCAGCCAAGACCAAGGCTGAGCCAGCACCAGCACCAGCTGTCCCTCCAGCCCCTCAGAAAACCCAGGAGCCCCCCATCGATCTCTCCAAAGTGGTGGTGAGTCCCAGGAAAGTGAGGAAGGAATTTGGAAGGGGTGGTACAGGGTGGGAAACAGCCTAGGGGATTGGGGTATCTGGAAGATAGGGAGTCAGCAGCATTGGAATGATATTGGAGATTCCTCTCAGTCTCCCATTTGGAAGCATCAGGCTTATGACTCTGATGTTGTCTTTGTTGTTCTCTCCCTATAAACTATAATGTGTGTGGGTACATGCACACATGCATACACACACGCTCTCTCTCTCTCACTGACCCCCTTGCTGGAGGCAGGGATTGTGACATGGGGAACATCTGGGTTCTGAGGACAATTTCAAGGTGAAGGGAGGGAGCTGCTGCCTGTGCCTGACTGACTGTTCAATTCTAAAAGCCACAGCTCTGAACCCCAGGAGGGAAGGCTGAAAAGGACAGACTTGTTAGACAATCACAGCTGGGGGCCAGGGGTAAATTTAGCCTTTGTTCAGCCCCCAGTTATGTGAGGGATGCAGGGCTCAGGGCACTGGAGGGAGGGGAACAGGTGGCATGGGATTAACCCTGTTCCCAGGAAACCCTCCCCCCATAATTCCTCCTCTTGGGATTCTCCCAAGGTCCAGAGCTGGGAATGGGACTGAGGTGGCTGGGCTCCCAGCCTGGTCTCTTTGGGCCCCTCCCCAGAAGTGGCTGCCAGTTGGTTGGGAGGAGTGCTGGAAACAGATTGAATGAGCCCTGTCATCCCTCCTCACCTGCTCTTTTCTTCCACAGATCGAGTTTAACAAGGACCAGCTGGAGGGTGAGGAGAAGCTGGTCCCTTAAGCCCTACTGTCTAGTCCCAAGCCCATGGTCAGATCCTTTTTCTGTTCCCCTAACTCCGGTCCCAACCTTAAAACTTTCCATGCTAGTCATCTTTGTGTCTCCTATTCTGCCCAGCTTTAGCACATAGTTTCTGAACCTACTTTCTGTCGGGGGGTGGGGGTGGGGGGTGGATGGGAACCTCTGGTCAACACTGACCCGCTCCTTATACTTCAGAGTTCAAGGAGGCCTTTGAGCTGTTTGATCGAGTGGGGGATGGCAAGATCCTGTATGGCCAGTGTGGGGACGTGATGAGGGCCCTGGGCCAGAACCCCACCAACGCCGAGGTGCTCAAGGTCCTGGGGAATCCCAAGAGTGATGGTGAGGGGGATGCCTGGAACAGTGCGAGTTTTCAATGTGGTGGTGGAACTGAGGAATGTTGGCAAGGTCGCAAAGGATGCTGGGGTGGGTCTCTGGACTTAAAAAACTGTCAAACACAAGATAGAAAAACATCCTGGATGTTGAACAGAATGAAAGCCTTCGTGGTGGGAATGGGAGCTGGGTCCAAGGTGACTCTACAGTGACCTCTCCCTCCCCTTTCTAACTTCCAGAGCTGAAGTCCCGGCGTGTGGACTTCGAAACTTTCTTGCCCATGCTCCAGGCGGTAGCCAAAAACCGGGGCCAAGGCACATATGAGGACTACCTGGAGGGCCTTCGAGTGTTTGACAAAGAGGGGAACGGCAAAGTCATGGGAGCAGAGCTCAGACATGTCCTCACTACCCTGGGTGAGGCAAGGACCAGAACTCCTGTGGGTTGGAGAGAAGGGGGTGGACCAAGAAGGTTAGCCAAATAGGCAGAGCCAGGGAAGAATAATGGTCCTGTAGGTCATGGGCAGAAGACTGGGAAGGTCAGAGGGGGCAGAATCTAAAGGGCTTCTTCCTGCAGAAGGTAAAGTGAGGGTAGATGCGGATGCCTCCCAAAGGACAGAGGAAAGGGGATGAGCTGATTTTCTGTTGTAAAAGAGATGCTTGTGCTCTGTGATTTGGTAGCCCCTTAACCCTCTGGAATTCAGTTTCCCTCTGTCAGGGCTCATGCAGGTGAAATGGAAAGCAAGATGGAGGAACACATTCAAGGTGTTAGCATTACAAGGAGAGGATTCCTTCGGGGTTCTGTTGCTATGAACCAAGTATTCAAGGGTGGGAGAAGAGAAGCTATCATCCAGAAGAGAGTGGCCTGGTTTGGGAGGGAGGGCAAGCACTAAAATGCTGTGTCTGTGGCTCAGGAGAGAGGATGACCGAAGAGGAGGTGGAGACTGTTCTGGCAGGACATGAGGACAGCAATGGCTGCATCAACTACGAAGGTGAGGGGACAGGGGAGAGGAGGCAGAAGGCTCGCGATATGTGGATGGGGGGACCAAGGGCCTGGATTATCTAAAATCAGATGGATTATCCAAGGGCCTGCTTCTGAACCCCTCTTGCTTCCTCTCTGTAGCCTTCCTGAAGCACATCCTAAGCGTCTGAGCTCTACTGGTACGGCCCTCCCACTCCGACTGGGGAGGCAAGTTTCCTATCCTTCCCTCAGTCTGGGTAGAAAAGTAGGGAAGTGCGTTTTCATGTCCTGGGGCGCGAGCGCGACAGGCCTTGGCAACTTTCATCTTTTTCCACAGATGCAGTGGGGCCAGACACTGCCCCTCCCCCCCTTCCCCGGCAGGCGGAAGCACGTTCCTGCCACTGGGAGGCCACCTATTGTTTCAAAATAAAGACACAGTTCAACCCTCCCTTGGCGTCCGACTCATGCTTTCTTCAGAGGTGGGGAGGGAAGGGAGGGTTCTCCTCTCCCCAATCCGATATCCTCTGATCTTCCTGCTGCAAGGAGGAGCAGATTCCTTGTGCCCTACCCGATCCACTTCTGCAGTTTCTTCCCCTCAGGTAGGGCTATTCTAGAGGAAGAGGCAGCGGGACCCGCCCACCTCATTACTAATGTAGCAATATCATCTGCATAAGGCCAGACCAGGATTCTTATTGGCCGGATCAGCTGAGGGTGACGTCATTGGAACGTACGAAGACTAGGGTTGGGCCGGGAGCCGGAGCCATTACTGCAGGAAAAGGTCCCGCAGAGCAGAGCAGTCAAGATGGTGGGGCCCAGGGCCTGGAAGGATGAGCGGGATGTGGGGCAAGAGGCGGGAAGTCGGGGGTAGGGGCTTGCAAAGGGAACCTGAGGGCTTGGAAGGTCGGAGGTGGGGTTGGAAAGTTTGGGGGCCTGTCCTGCCGGGAAGTGAGTGAGTCCCCAGCATGGAACAGGAGTTAGTGGTTCAGTTTGTGGGACTGGGATAGAAGCTTGGGGGTTTGGAGTTCAGATGCTGACCGCTCCCCTCTTCTCTGAGCAGTGTGACTTCACCGAGGATCAAACTGCAGGTAGGTAATCTCTGACCCCTACTGAGGTCATGCTTAGGGATTGGGACCCCCGCCTCTAGCACCTATCCCATAACCCCACCTGTCATCTCTTCAGTACCCGCAGGGAAGTACTTCCTGGATTCCCTTCTCTTTCTGGATCCTCCATTTTCTTTTCTCACTCTTTCTTCCTCCCTCCCCTTGCACTCTAGATTCGAGCCCCAAGCCCCGGGTGAGTTTTAGGTGGTGTGGGTGTGTGAAACAACTTGGTCACCTAATGCCTGCTGTGTGTGGAGTTTGGGGAGGGTGTATTAAGTTGCCTGCACTCCTCTGTCCCTTAATCAGCTTCTGCCTCTTTTCTCCTCCTGTGATAACTCCCCTCCCCCAGCTTGGATTTGTGAAGATTGTAAAAAGCAGTGACCTGGAATTTTGTGAAACTGGGGACGGGGAATTTGCCGAGGATACTTCATAGTTGTATCCTCCGAATGTCTCTTTCTGTACAGTAGGGGTGGGAAGTGGCAGGCTGGGATGACCCCTGTCCCAGGCTGCTGCTCCCACTTCCTTATAAGGACAGGACCCAGACAGGGCGGTGGCAAATTCCTGCCCTGAGTAGAGTTGTGAGGAGGCTGGGCAGGCTTGCTGTAGGCAGAGGGGGCGTGTAAATGGATGTTACCACTCTGCCAAGGGGGGGGAAGAAGGCTGTGTCATTATGTGGGACACCTGAGTTGGGAGACAGGGACATTAGATCCCTCTTAGCGGACTTCAGTGTACAGTGGTATAAATATCTGGTTTCCTCAGCATGATCAATGTTCACTGGGCAGAAGGGGCTGTCAGGGAGGTTTTGGGTTAACCCCCACATGCCCAGTGCTGATGTGTATCTGAATCTTCAGAGTTCAAGGAAGCCTTCCAGTTGTTTGACCGAACAGGGGATGGCAAGATCCTGTACAGCCAATGCGGGGACGTAATGAGGGCCCTGGGACAGAACCCCACCAACGCCGAGGTGCTCAAGGTCCTGGGGAATCCCAAGAGTGATGGTGAGGGTCTTCAAGAACAATTTCTCAGTGTGGTAATGGGCCTACAGTTCTTCAGCTGAGAGCTTCCCTTTATCTTAGTAGGCCCAGAACTCAAGCAGGTTTGTCTCAACTAGCAAATCCCACTGATCTCTCCTGCCTTGTGTGGGAGCTGCCTGCTCACTTGTGATCCCTGTAGTCTCCTCAGTTCTGAGAACCTGTGTGACTTTCCTTCCACCTTCTTTATGGCAGAGATGAATGTGAAGGTGCTGGACTTTGAACACTTCCTGCCCATGCTGCAGACTGTGGCCAAGAACAAGGACCAGGGCACCTACGAGGACTATGTCGAAGGCCTTCGGGTGTTTGACAAGGAAGGGAATGGCACCGTCATGGGTGCTGAAATCCGGCATGTCCTTGTCACGCTGGGTAAGGCTCTGCCCTTGCTCTTTGAGCAGTGCCGCCTGATAACACACCTGCTGCCCAGTTCCCAAAATGTTTTTCTTTCCCTCTGCAGGTGAGAAGATGACAGAGGAAGAAGTAGAGATGCTGGTGGCAGGACATGAGGACAGCAATGGTTGTATCAACTATGAAGGTGAGGGATGAATTGGGGCTCTTGTGGAGAAAGCAGTTGTATAAGCAGGTCACGCCCAGTATTTGGGGCTTTCTCTGTCCCTGGGCTCCAGAAAGAATGAGGCAAGGGGCAGGGCCCAGCCCAGCCCAGGAGTGGGAGGCCACAGGGGTATGACAAGAAAGGAAGGGGTAATGTGTGAAGGGTGGGGAAAGAATGGGAAGTAAAATAAAGGGAATGTCTGTTCCCCCACCACCTGATCCCTTCACCCCATGTCTGTGTCTTGTCTTCACCATTAATGTCTCTTCCTTCCTGCAGCATTTGTGAGGCATATCCTGTCGGGGTGACGGGCCCATGGGGCGGGTACGGCTCCTCCCAGCCTCCCCTTCTCTAGTTGTCCTCCCTGGTGTTTTTCTTCCCAACCTTTGCTCTCTAGCCCCTGCCCTTCCCCTACTACCATCTGACTTCCTCCTAGCATGTTTCTGCATGGAGCTGACTGGGGAGGGGAGGGGTTCCTCAAAGAGGAAGACAGCCTGGGGGTGTGGTACCTCCTTTTCTCCTAAAATGGGCTCTGAGGTTTTGCTCATAGGGCCCAGGGTGCTGGTGTCTGGGAACTCACACCAGCCTGTCTCCGTCTTGCTTCAGGGTGATCCTTTGGCCCTGGCGCACAGTGGTTGGCATAGGGGGGTTGGTTGCCTGCCCCATTGTGCTGCTATAGCTCAATAGTCTTTTCTTTTTCCTTCTGCTGGGCAGCTTGGAGGTACCCTAACCCATACCTCTGTCTTCTCCTGCCAATGGCTGACAGTAGCTGTAGGTGTAGTTGAGAACTTTCCTGCCTCTGCTGTGTTCTTGCTGCTCGGGGAGAGGGTGGGGAAGCTAACAGCTGGTGGGAGGGAAGCTGGGGGCTGAGAGAACTGGGAAGACCCAAGGTGGCCTCTACAAACCCAAGGTTGGGTTCTGTGGGCACGTTCTTATGCTACCTTTGTGGTCTTGTGGTCTGCTGGCCCCTGGTGGACCCCTCCCCTTGCCCTACTCCCTGGCTCACCCCTCTCTTCTATCCACAGAGCTCGTCCGCATGGTGCTGAATGGCTGAGGATGTTCCTGCTGTGCCCAAGCCCCATACCTTTCCCTGTGTTGATACTGTGCATGTAGCTCTAAAGGCCTCCTAGGTCCTCTTGTCACAAGCACTTTTGCTAGCTTGTCTCTCTTGGATGTTAT